CTTGACTCAGGTGTGGCCTTCCTAGACTGGGAAGCGGAGGGGTTGTGGGGGATGGTGGGTTTGTGGTATGTGTGTAATAACTTTGACTGCGTGTTACGGGGGGTAGGGGGTTGGGGGGTTGGGGGGGGGGCGGCGGATATTTTAGTGATGTGGCTGAAATATCCCCACAAACGTCCTGTTTTCAAACAAGATGGCATCCAGTCACGTGATTTAAAAAAAGAAAGAAAGAAAGGAAAAGAAACAAACTTTGCACACAGTCTATACTACGACCTCTCTCGCTCTCTTTTTAACGCACATTTGCAAACCACCACGCTAACGCTTCCAAATATATGTCTACTTTACGTGAGCTTCGGCTCTGCCACAAAGAAGGACGTTTCCGCGGTGTGCGGTCGTGCTGTGCTGAAACTTCACGCTCAGGAGCTGCCCTGGCTCTCCTCAGCAGTGCATTCATAAATGCGCATTTCAGATATTTCTTATTTCCCAGTTATTGAATCGCAGTTTCCAGCCGGCAACAACAAGTGTTTTCACTGAAGTGTTTGACTTAAGAAGCTGTTGCCTGACTTTTTTTCCCCTTTTTTTAAAAAGCCCATAGGTTCAGCACCTCGGACAGCGACCAGAGTGAGCTGCTCACAGTTCAACCTCTGCTCCCTCTTGAGGCCTTTGAGCTTCATTTGCAAACATGTATTTTTCCTACAGTCTGTATACACAGATAGATCCCCTTTCGTTGAAAAGCTATATGCAAACAAAAACTGATAAATGCACTTAGCCTATACAATACAATACCTTTTATTAAGCGGGACATAGGGATTCTTCTATAATTTCCACAATGTACATTTGGTGAGCAACGTCACTGAACATTAAATCAGTCAAAGCTACGCAGATTCCGAAATGTAGAACACACAATAATGTGAATATGTACTTTATAAATTATATCATTGTTACTATTTTTTTTTTAAATAAAAGGGCTCTAAGTCGTCTTCGGTGGCTGAAATATGTCGCCTTTTTTTTCTCTTTTAAATAAACTCGTCGGCGGCCTACATTTGGCGTATTTTCAATATGTTCAGCATCCAAACGCAACACCATTGACAGCACAAAACATAAAGATAAAACTTCCATTCGTGCAAAAAAAATGCCTTGGGCGTGAAAGCACTTCTTCTGTTGTTTGTCCATATAATTCCATATACTTCACTTGGACGGAAACCATAAATTGTTTAAGGCTATACAAACATAAAATAGAGCATAACACACTCGGCCTCTCCAAGGTGTCAGTTCCTCCACTCCCCCCCATCTTTCTTCCTTTTTTACCATTTTCCCTCTTCAGGCTACCAAACCCCCCCGTTTTTGTTCTGTCGGCCAAAGTTTGGTTTCATCTGCTCTTCTTTTTGGGATATTTTAGTGTGTGGGCTGAAATATCCCCAAAACGTCCTTTTTCAAACAAGATGGCATCCAGTCACGTGATTTAAAAAAAGAAAGAAAGAAAGGAAAAGAAACAAACTTTGCACACAGTCTATACTACGACCTCTCTCGCTCTCTTTTTAACGCACATTTGCAAACCACCACGCTAACGCTTCCAAATATATGTCTACTTTACGTGAGCTTCGGCTCTGCCACAAAGAAGGACGTTTCCGCGGTGTGCGGTCGTGCTGTGCTGAAACTTCACGCTCAGGAGCTGCCCTGGCTCTCCTCAGCAGTGCATTCATAAATGCGCATTTCAGATATTTCTTATTTCCCAGTTATTGAATCGCAGTTTCCAGCCGGCAACAACAAGTGTTTTCACTGAAGTGTTTGACTTAAGAAGCTGTTGCCTGACTTTTTTCCCCCTTTTTTTAAAAAGCCCATAGGTTCAGCACCTCGGACAGCGACCAGAGTGAGCTGCTCACAGTTCAACCTCTGCTCCCTCTTGAGGCCTTTGAGCTTCATTTGCAAACATGTATTTTTCCTACAGTCTGTATACACAGATAGATCCCCTTTCGTTGAAAAGCTATATGCAAACAAAAACTGATAAATGCACTTAGCCTATACAATACAATACCTTTTATTAAGCGGGACATAGGGATTCTTCTATAATTTCCACAATGTACATTTGGTGAGCAACGTCACTGAACATTAAATCAGTCAAAGCTACGCAGATTCCGAAATGTAGAACACACAATAATGTGAATATGTACTTTATAAATTATATCATTGTTACTATTTTTTTTTTAAATAAAAGGGCTCTAAGTCGTCTTCGGTGGCTGAAATATGTCGCCTTTTTTTTCTCTTTTAAATAAACTCGTCGGCGGCCTACATTTGGCGTATTTTCAATATGTTCAGCATCCAAACGCAACACCATTGACAGCACAAAACATAAAGATAAAACTTCCATTCGTGCAAAAAAAATGCCTTGGGCGTGAAAGCACTTCTTCTGTTGTTTGTCCATATAATTCCATATACTTCACTTGGACGGAAACCATAAATTGTTTAAGGCTATACAAACATAAAATAGAGCATAACACACTCGGCCTCTCCAAGGTGTCAGTTCCTCCACTCCCCCCATCTTCTCCTTTGTCCATTTCCTCTCAGGTACACCCGTTTGTCTGTCGGCAAAGTTTGTTTTCCAAGCAAGGGGGGGGAAAAAATCCACGTACCCGACAAGTACGGGCCACGTTGAATCATCCAGATTGCGTTAGAGTTGGCTGATGGATTTGAATATATGAAACTCCAAGGAAACGTTCAGATTTGACTAGATAGTGGACGAGTGTAGGTATACAGATATTCGTCGGCTTCCTTGGCTGACAGTTATTTTAGTTAAAAATAAATGGCATGTTTTTTTCGTTTTTTTCTTTTTTTTTCTTTTTTGGTTCCTCAACCTAAGCAGAGTCCCATGCGACATGAGTCATCGCAGATTAGATTATAGAGGAAAGACTAGAAAGCCTGAGAAGGTGGAGTATTTCCATCCGCCCATTAGGGTGCCCCGTTCCAGCTTCAGATAGACACGGTCCTCCCGTTCAACCATCAGCAGTACTCCGTTGCTGGCCGCCTCTCTCGTAACGTCCTGGTCACCGGCGAATGCTGATATAACCGGATAATCATTCTGCATCAGGTTCACCTGCAATTAAGAGCAACGAGAAACTTGGAGCTGAGTCTTGTACCCAGGAAATGCAAAAATGCGCCCCACGTTTTTCGTAATTTCTCACCTGTATAGTTTGTCTGTTGTAGACCTTCACCACGTGAAAGCTGAAACTATAGATTCCCCTTCTTGGAGCCTGGAAAACACTCGTTTTGAGATCGAAATGGTTGCCGATGTTCACTAAAACCTGTGATAAGAAAGGGAGCACAATAAGACAGTGCTTTATTAGTATGATTATTTTTTATGTGCATGCTTAATTCAACACAACAGCTGGTTTTGTGGAAACGTATTGTTTGTGTCTGCTGTGCGCAGTGACTAAAAAAAGAGGCGTATAAGCCAGTAAGTCTGGTGCTGCTTTGCCAAATGTTTCAGGCAGCACTTCAGTCGCACTTTGGGAAGGATCCCAATTTGAGGCGTATAACAGGCCGCTGTCCAAAGACCTCAGCCGTGAAAACTTATTGGAATATCTAATCAAAAGCAACACATTGCATATCTAAATGCGGCCGAGGCCTAAGACGCATGCGGTAAATGATCGTGCATGGGTGATCGTCTGGCGGCGTATCTCCAGATCACGCCAATTACGCACACGAATCCTTCTGAAACATAAAATAACGCCGAAGTCTTTAGAAAACCTCCTGGCTCGGATCGCACAGAGCGTTAGAAGTAATAGAAAATCAATATCGAGCAAGATCATAAGTTTTACCCACCCAACAGATTGTACGAAGAGAAAATTATATTTTAGAATAAAATCGGACTTGTATTGGATATGGGTGTGTTGACGCTAAATTCAGTGGACATCTGACCTGGTCAAAATAGATGGTCATGGACGTGTTGCTCATCTCTGACGGCTCATGGTTGGTTCCACGCACGGCTGAAAAAGCCACCTTTGCCCCAGCGGAGCGGACTGAAATGCCAAGTGAGGAGGTGACTGCGCCGTCCGAAGAAGGGTTCGAGTCGCACACCACTAGACACTTCCCCTCGAGAACTATGGGTTCCGTGTCGTTCTGGCCAAGGCAGAAAGCCACGCCGCATCCCAAGAGGAGGGTCAGTGCCAGTATGGCACAGCGTCCCGGGCAGCGCGCTGGCACCATGGTTGGATCGCTGATCCCGTGCACACTGATACAGCCCGGTAGCCCCTTGGAGGTTTGTTAGCTCTCGATCACCTGGTCCAGAGTCGGTCCCTTCTATCTTCCCCTCTCTCTTCCTCAATATGTGATGCTCCCTCACTCTCTCAAACACCTTCTGACACACAGACGCACTCAGACTCTCTCCGACTGAGACTCCCCTCCCTCCTGCACGTCTTAGTTGATTTTGGGAGAGTATTCAGACATCTGCGGTTGCAATTCCTGATATAAGAGAAAAATAGTTCTCTTGTAAGACAATAACATCAATGAAATCGTATATAGTTTACTTAATAAACTTGTAACCAGCGTGCGTAAAAAGACTTGTGCGTAAAGGGAAAAGCGACTGATCGTTAAATACCACAATCCTAATAAGCATGGTGTAGAAATTGATCATCCTTTATAATTATCCTATCAAAGCAATTATTTGTGCTTAAGCTGCGTGTTTGCTGATGGGAATGCGCGCTGCAGCACTTTGTACCAAATTAAAATGTCCAAAAAAAGATGTTCCCTTCCTAGATCCTCGTTCTGGCTGATAATTGTGATGAAACAAGCACTTTTCTGGCATTTCTATGAAGGAACGATAAACCACGACCTACCTGCGTTATCCATCCCGCTGGTGTGCTTTCTGTCCCACCCTCCAAGACTGTAAATTGAGCGCTCAGATCGCTGCTGCTGCTGCTACTGCTGCAGAAAAAAGCATGAGTCTCTGGGCTGCCTTTCGAGGGAGTACTCACGCCCATTCTTTGTGTGTGGCCACTGCAACGAGACTTCTCAGAAGTGCCCCACAATTAAGACACATTGCGTGGACTAATAGGTTTGTTTGCACAGTCATACGTGCTATGCTGGGAGCTTGGGGGCCCCTGAGGTTGGCAAAGATCACTCGCTCTTAGGGACTGTCATTTATATGCTCTGGTTTTGTCATATCTCTGTCTGATTAATCCGAAATGAAGGGGGAATGCAGCGGGTAACCTTGCAGTTACATGGTACATTCAGCATGCATGTATATGTTACTAATTTGGGACTTAAAGCAATTTTTTTTATGAATCAAATACAGATACTCGTGCGCCATCCAGTGGCGGATCTAAATTGTGCATAAGGGCTGTCAGGCTATTCGAGAAACACAATGGGGGTAAAAAAAAAATATCAAAGAATCTAAGAAATTAAGACAATAAACTTGTGTGGCATCTCACCTGCATGCTCCACTGACACATGGTTGTCAACAGTCTTCCATCACATCACAAATAAAACAAAGATCTCACAACCAGGTTCAAAGCAGGTAAAGCTTCAACAAAGCTCACTTCACCGAGTATGACCCGCACTTCTCTGTTCCACCCTTAGCCTTCTTCTTTTCAACTTCTGACATGCCATCATCCTTTGAAGAGCTGTAGAGGGTTCCTATCAGTGCTCCACACTTCTGAATGGTTTGAGGATGGGCTTCACAAGTATCAAACCTCACGCTGGACCTTTAATGAGCTGTCGTTTTCACACTTCCTACCAAGTGCTAAGTGGCTGCATTATACATGTACACAGCAAATACTGTAGGCCAGCTGTTTTATCCACTCAAGTAAAGGAACAGACTGTGTTACTTTTGATTTATCAGAGCTGGAATTTGTTTTAGGGTTTCACGCAAGTAAGCGATTGGATAAGATGAGCAGGTAGAGAATATATCACTGTTAATAAGTGTTGAAAGCTCAGACACAGCTGAAGAATATGTGACTTGTGCAGTGTGTTTCACATGCCTTTGTACATGCTAAGTCCTCTACTAAAAATACATTATTTTAGGCTTAATCATGGTTAATCCTTTGCTCCCTTCATTCCCATTTGACAAACGCTGCACTGTCACAGCCGACTGACAAACCATGCGGAAGAGTGACATCAGGTATCCAAGAGCCACAGCTGTCCTCGGGCCTTTAGAAGGACACATAGCTACAGAAATCATCAAATGTCAAGTACGGGGGACAAGCAAGCAAAAAGGATGTGGCCTACATGCCATTACTATACCAGGGGCTGCTGTTGCCCTGAAAGGGACTTCACTTTCATCAGGCAAGCTGATCAGCTAGAGTGACAACAGGGTTATGGTGATTTTCCCTGACAGCTAGCAGAGCCTACTGGCTTCTAGGAAAAGGGGGAGGTCAATTATGGGATGGGTCTTAAAGTGAGCCATCTGTTTTTGCAAAGAAAATGACTTATCATCTTTCTGCATGTTTTCTCTGTACATAACACACATGCATGTATACTTTTAGAGTCCCTTTTTGTGCACAACTACATATCAATACCTCTGTCACAAATATTATAAATATTAGGCATATAACGAATTAAATTAAACAAGATCCACTCCATGTGCTCATGCCACTATATGCTTCATCAGATCTAAAATACCCACTATATCTGCCAGTCCATCCTTCTGCCAGTCCATCTGTCTATGTGCAGCTATAAATGACTCTGTATCTTCATCTTTGAAATGAGGTCAGGCTCTCAAACTGCTTCATTTTTGAGTCCTCTCTCTCACTGCTGGAGAATGAATGAATGTGGAGAAAGAGACTGTGTTTTGTCTCTCTTGTCTTAGTTCAGTAAGATGTGACCTCTATCTTAGCATGTGTGAGGAGACAAATAGCATCAATCTTGCCTTTTCCTCCCCTGCTAGTGCTGAGCTAACACCCTGATGAGGAGTTATATTGGTAATCCAGGGAAAGGTTACAGCAGGCGGTACTGTGCCTGCTAAAGCTTACAGTGACAGCTATTAATTTGTGTGTGTGGTGTGTGTGTGTGTGTGTGTGTGTCCACAGTTGTATTAATCACACTGTAGAGATTGGAATCTCAATAGCAGGATAAAGGTAGCTTTCTCTCAGGTAAACTAAGAAATTTTAGGAGTGCAGTTTGAATCGTGGTTTAGGGGTAAAGGTCAAATGTGTTCAGCCCCCCAGGAAATGAAAGTAAATCTGTGCAGTATGTGTAAATATGTACTCTGTACATCTACATGCGTCAACAGTTTACTTTACGGCCCTGTGGGAACTACAAGGTAAAATCTTACAAGTTGGCTTTACTTAAGTGTGCAAACTCATTGCTTCAGAAAATTTAGATGCAGCATCACTATCATAAAGGAGAAGTCAACTTAATTTCTGTAATATGCAATATACCTTAATTTAAATTACCTCATAAATGAGAGAAACAGTTCCTGGAAAGTTGGAAAATGTGTTTTGGGGTAGATTAGTTGGGTAAGCTGTGTTATAAGACAAAAATGCACATTTATTGTAATTCTTGTTTTCCAAACATTGCATAAATCCTAAACTGCTTTCAAACAGCCTGAACATGGACTCTGGCTAGAAGCCATTAACTGTTACAGAAGACTCAGATCACAGTGGCACATTGTTAGACCTTAACACTATTCTTGACCACACAAACACTGAAGTCTCATACCCGCGGTGTGGAAGGGTTCCTTCCAGCTATTTATTGAAACATGCAAATATACATTGGAATATAGCATATAAATCAAAAACAGAGTTCGTACAATTCTAATCAGCTTGCTATTCAATATTTGTTATGACCACCTTTATTCTATAACACAGCCTGAACCCAGGGAGCTTTCTTGTCATTTCTTTAAGTAGTCTTCAGGAATAGTTCTCGAGGCTTCTTGAAGGACACTCAAAGCTCTTCTTTGGACGTTGGCTGCCTTTTGTTGTGTTCTGTGTCAAGGTGATTCCACACCGCTTCAATAATGTTGAGGTCCCGAATCTGGGGAGGCCAATCCATGACTCATAAGGTTCCCCTGTGTGTTTTTCTACCCAGGTATGCTTTTACTGCATTACCAGTGTGTTTAGGATGAAAGTTGAAGCTGCTGACAATCAGGCTCTTTCCAGATGGCATTGGATGATGGATTAATATTTGAAAGTACTTTTCTGCATTCATAATTGCAAAAAACACCAACATCAATGGTTGAAATGCAGCCCTAAACCATGACAGAGCCTCCACTGTGTTTAACAGATGACCACAGACACTCGCTGTCAAACACAGAGCTGTCAAACTAAACAAAAAAAAAGGTTTTCCCAAAGATGAGTAGTTCTCATCATGCTGATTTGGGTTCAAGGGTGGTGACTTTTCTCATGATTATGCTTCAAATTACTCACCCAAAGCTGTAAAATTAGGGTGTGATATCAAGGTGATGTCTTTGATTGACAGCTCCTGTCAGGAGAAACTCATATCTCTGTTGTGAATTGCAGATGAAGACTGAGAGAAGATCCAACCTTTACTTCCCATAACCACGACTCTCTGTTTAAAGCTAACAGCATGCTGTATTCTGCAGTAAACTGAACTAACCAACATAAGTGATCAGAGGCACTGTTGTACCTTTTCTATGAGTAAAATGTGTGATTTTAAGCTAACTAGTAAATTAGCATCCTTAGCTATAACTAGCTACGACGAGGAGTAAGCTAAGCCGGTGTTCGGTGGCTAATCTGTGCACATGAATGAATTCACCCCGACTAAAGAAATCACTCTGTTGAGCTTGAATGTTAATTAAAAGTCAGCGCTGTAGTTCAGACATTAGTTCTGCTGCTCTGACTTTACCGAACAGAAGGATGTTAATTCATGCAGCAGGCTGCCAAAGATGAGGCACTGAAACGGTTTATATGAGAAACAGAGAAAAGTCATTCATTATATACTGTAAGAGTAACAGGCTGGACTCTTCTTCAGCTCCTGTTTAGAGCTGATTATTAACTATCTGCAAACAGCAGCATGTTTCTGTTTCTTTCCACATCTGAATGGACAGTAACAGTACAATAAATTAAGTAATCAATAACACTGCTGCCTTTAAAAAAAGAGCACTTCGATAACATTAAGACAGCATTAAGCAAAGATGAATTACTAAGAAGATTGGAAATTTTCACATTCACAAACTGCCTGTAATTCTAGTTTCTACCTGATATCTCAGTTTGTTGATGGTGATTCACAGAAATGTGTCCTAAATACTGAAAACACAGATGTTTAACACACAATTAAAGTGAACAGGGTTTAACCACAGCTGTCTGGCTGAGGTGTTTTCCCCCATTTGTAGTAAACATTAAAACTAATTTAAGTTTCATAAACTCAGTCTGAGAGGGAGGGTCCATCCTTTCTTTGCATGTAAATACAACTTCACCTTCAGTCAGTATTCAGATATTAAAATATCATTAGTTGTATTTTAGATACTTTCCAGTGAGCTCTTATTGCATTTATGAAGTGACTACAGGTGCTTTTACTCAGCGAAATATGTCAAAAGAAAATGGCAAAGCTTTAAACATATGAGCTGAAACTAAAATTTATGTCTACATTTCTGACTTTCACCAGCTCTTTATAGGTCTAGATTTGGAAGTGAGAGTTTTTATTTCAAATATTCAGGTTAAAAAGCATACTGAATTATTATTAGAGTTATATGAAAGACTAAATGACTGTATGCTCTGTAGCCTACATCCTTTGAGAAACATAAAATGAAGCATTAATAGAAGACGCCCAGGGCAGCTGATCAAAACACTGTTAACAATAAATCCATATATTTTGCACAGTCGGTTGAAGATTGCTGGTGAAGATTAAATGTTCTCCTTTATTACTGAGTTAAGCTTCAGTCCTCCTGATGTTTCTAAAAAGACATCTACCTCAGTGGATCAACAGCACATCTGGGACAGGACAGCTGTGATGAAAGAAGAGGAGGAGATTTCTAAAAACCACTGGATCCAGAAATCCAGATCCAGCTTGGCCCCGATGGTCTCCTCCTCACACATTTTTGCCCACTGTAAATGTAGTCATTGATAATAATGTAGATTTTGCGTCATGCTTTAAATGAGAAGAACAAATTACATTTACATGAAACCTTCTCCCAATGTTTTACGTATGACATCTTAAAGTTTTCTATTATATTTCAATGTTTACAGGCTGCAGAGTTCTTTGTACATGTGTAATGGTTGTAAAACTGTTTAAATGTTCATCTACAAT